AAATGCTGGAGCAATTTCCCTGTGTCGTGCCGGTGATTTTCAATTAATAAGAGACATAAATCAATTTATATTAATTTTAATTATTCAAGACAGGTCATAGAAACTACAGTGGGTAATAGACTAACATACAGTATTTGTGGTGTGAGGAAGCAATTACGACATCTGCATATACCAGACCATTTTTTGCTTATTCTTTTTAACAGATTAGTCATCTCTAATTACGCGTCGAGCTGATCCGATGTTTCCCGACTTGCCGAACCTTGCAGTTGGAATGATTCGTTACAAAACTTCATTCATTGATAGCTTCCAAACACAGCTTGCGTATCTTGTTGATGCATCGAAGTAAGAATAAAAAAACTAGTATTTATATTAACTTTTCACCTTATGGCTGTCCTCTTCACCCGCCGATTGCGTTGCAATTTTTGTTGCTACACATAAATGCAAACCTGCGCCCATCACTGAAGAAACGGGCCCGCGGCCCGGGGCTGGCAGCAGCTTTAACGTAACTTCGCTGTGGGAGCTACTGCTGCTGAGGTGACCAGAGGAACACAGTGAACAAGCCAAAGCAGTGCCGGGGGTTGGGGCACTGAGTAGAGAACACGCTAGTTCCACAGAACTCTATCCATGTCCCCCAGATTAAAAATAAAGTCCTCACCTACATGGGTTGCAGGGGTTATGAAGGGTGGTTGCAAGGGTTGTCCGTTTTTGTAAGAAATCTCAACAAGAACCCTGTAGTGAAAGTTACCCTGAAAGTCCGACAAATACCCTAACTCTGCCCCTGCGTTCAAAAAGTAGCAATTTTTCTTATCAAATCTAGCATTTTATCGTCATAACGTGCATGAAAAGGATCAATTCTGTTAAAAATCATATTCATCCAAAATGTGAGTTTTATTCAATTCCTTTGAATTTCATGCAGTGAAATTCTTCATATAAACAAAAAGATACGAGAAAGTTTCAGCCGAGTTCCTAGCTGCTAGGTTATGAGCCATGTCAAATGCGTTCAACTTCATCAAGCACATAATCACAATATAAAAAATTCTCAAATTGAACTTCGAATCACTCGTTCTTATCGTTCAAATTCCAAAAATGTTTTAATTTCGCTTTATAATAAATGCCTTTATACAATAGATTGATTAAATCTTTTATTTGATAACGTTACATCACGGCACATTATTTGTGACAGTGTGTGAACGAGCTCACCTCAATCCTGCTGATGAGTACGAGAAGGAGACAGGGTGCGGGGGTCGGGGGGAACACTGAGGGTGTTTTGGGGGTCTTGTGACGCTGAAAAGTGGGGGAGGCGAGGCATAGAAAATGCTTGGCGCCAAAAAAAATCCCCCTCTACTCCTGCAACACACACAATCCAATTAATGGAAGAAGGTTCCTCACTACAATCTCTTATTGCCAGCATTTATTCGACAAATAGACATGAATTTATAAATTGTAATTAATCTGTACATGCTGATGCCGTGCTGTGCAGTACATGCTGCTGCCGTGCTGTGCTATTGCGCTGTGCTGTTCTGCTGCTGTCTTGTTGTGCTGCTGCCGTGCATTCGTGCTGTGCTGCTGCCGTACATTCGTGCTTTGCTGTTGCGCTGTGCTGTTGTTGTGTTGTTCTGCTGCTGACGTGCTGCTGCTGTGCTGTCGTGCTGTCCTGCTTCTATGTTGGCGTGCTGTGCATACAGCAACGATGGATAACGTATACAGGGGCTATATATACTGAGACGACTCATGTATGAATGATTTTTATAGAGAATATGTGCAGCCAAATGATGTTTATGTGGGTTATTGTTTGTGGGCACAGCCTGGTGATATTATATTTTAGCCCACGATAAGATCATGTATTTTAGCCCACGGTAAGGTCCTGTATTTTTGCCCACGACAAGATAATATATTTTAGCCCACGACAAGGTCATGTATTTTAGCCCACGATGGGGTCATGTATTTTAGCCCACGATAAGGTCCTGTATTTTAGCCCACGATAAGGTTCTGTATTTTAGCACACGACAAGATCATGTATTTTAGCCCACGATAAGGTCATGTATTTTAGCCCACGATAAGGTCATGTATTTTAGCCCACGATAAGATTATGTATTTTAGCCCACGACAAGGTCATGTATTTTAGCCCACGACAAGGTCATGTATTTTAGCCCACGATAAGGTCATGTATTTTAGCTCACGACAAGGTCATGTATTTAGCCCACGATAAGATCATGTATTTTAGCCCACGATAAGGTAATGTATTTTAGCCCACGACAAGGTCGTGTATTTTAGCCCACGATAAGATCATGTATTTTAGCCCACGATAAGGTCATGTATTTTAGCCCACGACAAGGTCATGTATTTTTGCCGCCGGTAAGATCATGTATTTTAGCCCACGACAAGGTCATGTATTTTAGCCCACGATAAGATCAATTATTTTAGCCCACGATAAGGTCACAAATCTTTATCGAGGGTTTGTGAGCGTGTGGCAACAATATTAGTATAATATAATAATAGCCATAATAATAATTGCCAACAAAGTGTTCTAGGCAGCTGAACAATTCCCATGTCAAAGTAAGTAGAGTCTAGATGGTCGAAAATCTTAGTTCAAGCTCATAACAAGCGATTGATGCGACAGTTGCTGGATCCATTTTAGAATATGTATGAAAATGTAGTATTTTTTTNAGACTAGATAAAGCTATGGAAAAATATATGTTCAGATTTGAAATGCCTAGCTCCTTATCGAACCCGGTGGAAGTCTAGTAGCTACATCAAACTATCGTCAGTCATGAAAAGATCCGGTCAAATGACACGATTTTAGATCTTCCGTGAACAAGGTACGGAAAGGAAAAGAATCGGCGACAGGCCACATCAGGCCTACGCTTCAGCGCCAAGAGCACTATGTTATGTTATTTCACCCATTGCGGACGATAGCCTGTCAACCCTCATGTTGGTGGAAAAAGTCTGCTGCGCTCTCTGAGAAGTAGCCGTAGCGTCTTGAGTCCAAAAATTATTGAGTAAAGTTAACTTGCCGATTGCGAACAGTCATTTATCAATCAACGAGTAACTTGAACTTGATAAGTTGGGCTATACTTCTATATTCACCTCGACTGTCCCGACAGCCTGAGTGCCTGACTATAAAAGCAAAGAGACCGTGCAGCCACTGCAGCGTCAGGCCGTCAGCCACCAAGCCCGACACCGCCAAGAACCCTGCTAATCATGCTGGCTTTCTCGCCGTTCCCCAGGGCCCAGGCCTCCTATGACAGTATGACCTATAGCATAGGGCACCCGCACTGGCTAGTGAGTAGCTAGTGACTACCCTATCTCCGCGTTCGCCATACGCATAAGCGAGGGCGGAAAGTGCCAAAAGGAGATGAAGACTATAATTGGATTATCATTGCTGAGTCCAGGTGTTACATAATACATAGTACATTCAAGTGTAACTGAAGTGTTCTGTACATGACTTCTTCTTCACCTTCAGCTTTTCAAGGCTGAAGTGAAGGCTTCAACCCATCATCAAATCAATCACTTCATGAGATTAGCCTAATGAGATGAGATCATGAGAAAAGACAAAGAGACAGTAGATACTATAGGCCTACTAGTATACTAGAACTAGTGTACTATTACTATTAGGCAGTAGGCTTAGCCTTACGTTTATAGCCTCTAAATCATTATCTAATGCTCTCTAAGGCTCTATACTAGATAGGTAGTAGGCTAGTCATAGACTCATAGTCCATAGATACTACTTCTACTAGTCTTAGTCTCAGACTCTCAGTTAGACTCAGTAGTGTTTCTCTGTGAGACTGAGACTCAGCCACTCAGGACACTGGCCCTGGGACAGAGACTGAGCCATTTGCCAGGCTAGTGCCAGCCAAGGTTTGAAGGTTCAAATTAATTTAAGGTAGGAACCAGTTGAAATTTGAGCATCAACTTTTGCCATTATAATTTTTATATCAATGCAATTGGCTATTGCTATAGCTGTAGCCTGTAAGCCTTTAAGCTATAAGATTTTTTTTTTTAACCTGGACTTCATCTGTTCGTGTTCATCCTTTACTTACCAAGTTACCATTCTCATTCTGAAAAATTGGCTTCAGCCTTCTGGTAGAACATAGAAGTCAATGATTATTGATCATTAAGATTTTAGTAATTGAGACAATAATGTTTCTGCATGATATAAATTTTTACTTGTTTTTATATTATGTTCTTGCCAATCTATCTCTTGACAAATAAAGAAATTGGTATATTTTCACTCCTAATTTTTATAAATTATCTGCAAAATGATGCTTTTTACTAGGAATTTTAAAAAATTCTGCCTGACAATGCTGATATACACTAGGCTAGCATGCAAAGATCTACTCTCCCATCCATAGTGGCAAAGCAGAGAGTGTTTTAGAGTATTTAGACTCTCCCTCAAGTTTATTTTTGAGTCCTATAAGTATGCCAGTGGCATTATCATACATTAGAAATTAGTTTAAATCTTAGGTAAATGAGGAAATTAAAAATGAACTGATTCTATAAAAAATCTCTGGTTTGTCACTATGCTCTCAGCTGGCAGCTGCAACTGGAACTTTATAAATATACTAGCCATAAATTCTTGTATTTTTGAGCTCAACTCTATTTATTTGTATGGTAATTTTTTTACAGGCCTAAGGTCTTGGTCATCTTTCTTTGAGCTGCAATCTGAATTACCAAATACAAATTTTTTCAAAGTTAAGGGGATAGAAGTCATGAAACTGAAAAGTGTTTCTTGTTTACTATATAGAGGCGTGTTCTGAAAATTCATTTAATGCTGGCAGAACCAGTGTCTGCCGAAGTGGAAACTGGAAAATAAGCTACCCTTGAATTGTCAAAAACATCATGAATCCAGCCAATTTCACCAGTTCTTACAGGATTTCATAATATCTTTGGTAAAAAATGAGAAGAACTGCCTGTGTTCACCCATGATTTAAAAAAAAATCCTTGTAAAATGATTATTTTTATCAGTAAATTTAAGAAAATTCTGCCCAATATTTCAAAAGAACTACATGCTCTGCACAAACGTCTTTGCAGTTTGCAGACTGTGCCAATTGATCAGATTGAGGCAGTATATCCATGAGGCAATATAACAAATTCATTTGCAAGTGAAAGAAATGCTTATGCATCTACTTTTTATGGTTACAGACTAACAGTTCAGTACTACAGATGGATGCAGATGTATGAATACTAATCATAATACCAATATTGTAATGCTGTTTGCGTAATAATACTGGTATTCTCTAATTTGCAAGGATCTTCTATCCCAGGCATGGCAGGCAATACCAAGTTAGCTGACTGGATTATTAAATACATTTGTCAGATTTGCTAGTATTATTTAAATACTTATTCTGGAAAATGGCCATTAAGCTCCAGACTCATTGCTTGTTAATCCCTTTTCTACAGGCTCATTTTGATTGCTTCTGTAAGTGTAAATATTTATGGCTTTATTGATCTGTATATTATTATGTATGGGCTGGTAAAATGAGGATATGAATCCCTAATCTCAACTCCAGTTATGTTATATAGATATTCACTGCTGAATATTATTCTTCAAAATCTAGAAAATACCAAGTAAATATATTCTAGTGATGAATGTGTCAGAATATAGCCTCAAGTGGAGCAATCATGGGAGCTCACTTGCTGCAGCATCATGCAACCTGCTGGAGGATGGAGCTTTGGTGGATGTCACTCTGGTGGCTGAAGGCCAACAATTGCAAGCACACAAGCTCATGTTGGCCTCCTCCAGTACTTACTTCAAACATATTTTCATGGTAATGGCTCTCTTACAATTTGTTTCTTGTTTTGAATTCCTAACCACACAGAGGTTGCTTGTACCATGCATATGAAAATTGACTGCAACAAAACAGACTAGAAAGGTGACCAATCTGGTCATTTTTTGTTGAGCATTCAGGGTAGGGTTAATGATCAAGCTTCATTCTGTGCCTAAACTAAACATTTGTTTGTCTGAGACCCTAAAAGCATGGATAAATAAATTTGATTATGAATAAAAATGTTTATGCCACAAAATGAAGGTACATATGTAGACAAAATTTTCTAGCACATTTATTAATAATTGATATCTAAAATTATTTTTGCCATGCATTATTTCAGTAACAGTTGCTAACATAGTTCATAGTTTTGGCCTGAGAATTTTACATAGTGGCAGTTCACTTTCAAGGATTTAAAATTGCTAGCATTACCGTATTTGCCATTAGTGTTAAAATAATCATGATCATCCATAATTTGCCTTTTCTTGCATTGAACACCATAAAAAAATATGGATTATACTTTTACATCTTCATGGTGTCATGAAAGTTTATTCAACACCTAATTTATAATATTTATTAGAATTATCCAAAATATTTCCTCATTTGCTAACATCTACTGATTTTTTTCCAGAACAACCCTTGTCAGCATCCTGTGGTAATCCTACGGGATGTGCGGGCACTGGACCTACAGTACCTGCTGCTCTTCATCTACCAGGGCCATGTCAAGCTACCTCACTTCAGCATTGCTAGTTTCATGGAGCTGGCAAAAGCTCTTGAAATAGTTGGACTGGCCCCAGACCTTCCTTCTTCAGTACAGTTTATTTCACTTGGTTTTAATATCACATTATGGCTTTTTTTCACTTACTCATTAAGACTTTCTAGTCTCTTATTGACCAATCAAGGCTTCATTGTCTCTTGTGACATCATCCATTCTTGCAGTTACTCTTTGATCAATTAGAGCATCATTGCAATTTCTCCTTTCAATTTGCTTGCTGGTCACTTGTTGAATCTATTGTGGCTTCTGCCTTCTGGCATTCGTCATGACTTCTTATTTATACCTATATTGACTGATCAAGTCTTCATTGTCACTTATTGACGTGTTAAAACCTTAGTTTTGCTTATTACTTCTTGTCACCAATGAACAAGCTAGCTTAAATATGCAACGTACTTTTTTGACCAATTGAGTGAGATCTCTTGCCATGAATTTGCTTTCTTCTGTCCCACTGCACACTTTGAGAAGATCGACCATACTTGCCTTGCACTTATAGAACAATTGATGCCATATATTGTCCTGAGTCATATTGATTTAGCTAGTTATTTATTATATTAAAATAATTATATGTTGATAAATGGAGATATGGATGACTCCATCATCAGTACATCCTACATTACTTTAGCGGCCTGAGCAACTCCTGCAATGCTATGCAGGAAAATAACAGCAGTCATGTTGCATAAACACTTCCCCATCATGTGAGCAGCATGTGAATGTAAATTTAGAATTGCAAGCCTGATAATGATGGCTAGATTGTCCATTGACTCTGTTGGACGGAATTATTTACAGAGAAGCAGCCCCGTAAGGAAGAGGAAGCGCTGTGTTGAAGATGATACTGCTCATGACTGCCCCTCTTCTCCACTTCAGCTCAAGACTGAAATACAGGTGCTGAAATTAACCCTACTAAAATTAAAATTGGATTTCTGGTGTCTATATATTCCGTTTGCATCGGTTCAGATTTCTGTCAATTCTCAGAAAATCATATAATTATTATATTACCTGTGGCTGTGTGCATTTTTTACTATCAATAACGGTGACTCATTGGATGTGTCGGTGAAGATGTTGGCATTATTGCTTTGAATGCTTCATTTCATGAAAGGAACAGCCAGATTAATGGTACAGGAAGAAATGGTTGAATTGAAGTTCCATGTCTTGAATTGAACTTGACTCTGCATCCCGTCTGCCTGTTATGGTTGTCTACAGAAACCATTCAGGGCTTGGTTTTGTGTATGAGTAAACAGCTATTCACAGCTTGTTCATTCATCGTGATTGAGATACCTACCCTGTCAAGTGGAGAAGGGACCTTGCACAGTCAGCTTAAATTTTATTTACACTTAACAATTTAGTTGCAATTTTTTATCCTGCTTTTCACCAGGTCCTGGCTCTTAATATCAAAAATAAACCGGAATATACTGCCAAGTAGATATAATGTGGAGATGTACCTAACCATTTTTGTAATGTGAACTGTGCAAGCTCAGGAGTCTACTGAATTAATTATGTAGCTATTTGAGAAAAATACAATAAAAAAGTAGCAAACAGGAAAAAAGGGCTTATGCCATCAAAACTCTCTGGGCAAATGTTTCCTATTAATGTTTAATAATAAATCTACCACTTACAGTCTACTGGATTTACTATCTAAATTTCTTGTTGTGCTGGTTCTTTTTGTGCCATTTGGGGGAAATTCTGTTAATATTTGAAATGAAATATTTTCATAATACCAAACAAAGTCTCGTTCTTTGAAATGTCTTCATAACTGTGGTTCACTCAGGACATGCTGGAGGTGCTGCTGGATACGGACGATGCTCAGGACTCTAAACTTGTCACCGACGACTGCACCACCTCTGCCAGTTATGTTAATTTGGTCCCAAAGCAACCCTCAGTGCAACAACAAAGTAACCATCAAGAACCCCAGCAAAAACAAAAGTCAGGACAACATCATATGGATCAACCACGACACAAACAACCTCAACAGAATCAGGCAGCTGGCGAAGGGGACGCGGCCGGGCCAGGCAGGCCCATCCTCCCCAAGCCCCCAGAAGACACCCTCCTGTTGGGGCAGAACCTCCGCCTCAGAATACCGTCGAGCCACCAGCCTGAGTTCCCGCTAGACCCTTCCTGTGAGCCTCATAGTTTGGTCAATGTCATTTGAAGTTTACTAAGCATGTGATTTGAAATGGTTTCACCTTACTTTGTTTCTACAATTGCTTAGATGCTTTGAAATACTTCTATTGACATTTTCAATTAATACATATGGATGTCAGGTTAATTAAGAGCGCTAGCTTAATAAGATAAATTTTTAATCTGGTTAATGATTTTCCAGGTGCTGGCGTACCGTACCCGTGCCCCTTCTGTGACAAGGCGTACATGTCGTGGGGCTTCAGGCGGCGACACATCAAAGTCTGCCACTCGACGCCAGCCCAACTGTCGTGCAAGTGGTGTGCTGGCTCACTACCCTCTACTGCCCTCTGGCAGGTACACTACCCTCTACTGCCCTCTGGCAGATACACTACCCTCTACTGCCCTCTGGCAGGTACACTACTCTCTACTGCCCTCTGGCAGGTACGCTGTTGCCCTCTGGCTGGTATATTGTGGCCCTCTGGCAGGTACGCTGTTTTCCTCTGGCAGGTATACTGTAGCCCTTCATTTCTCATTAATTTGCAATTACCGTACACTTTTATCACATTACAAGCGTGTTTGCATTGCAGGCTCACGTACAGCAGGAGCACCAGCTGCCGGCAGCGGCGGCCCAGAACGGCATCCTCATCCTGGAGGAGGCGCTGATGGTGCTGCAGTTCGCGGCGCCCACGCGTCTTCGCTCCATCATGCAGCTCCTCAGTCCCTCCACTGGGACTAAAGATCTTGAGAATCCTAAGGGAAACCAGACTAAAGATCTAGAAGATCTTAAAAGGGAACCAGCTATTCAGATTAAAGATCGTAAAGATCCTAAGAAGCAAGCTAACCACACTAAAGAAATGAAGGATTCTGATGGATCTGATAACACAAGCGACCTGTCATCCACACGCATGAAGGAAGCCAACGGAGAGGTAGTACCGATGGACGGAAAAGGTCTTAGTGTTTCGTATGTGTCTGAGAGTGAGAAGTCTTCTGTGAATCATCCCGAGAAAAATGATGTTAAGCGGCCATCTGCAATTAGCGGAGTGGATGTTCAGTGTCCAAGAAGATTCGTTGAGTCAAAAGTTCAATGTTCGTGGGAGCCCGACGAGTCTAGCCGTGAGTCTCAACTAGGACCCAGTGAATGTGTCGGTCTATGCCCATCAGAGCATGACAAAGATACTGGCCGTCGTCCATTAGAGGCTAGAGAGCCAGGTAGCCAAGAGGCATCGGAAGCTAAAAAACCACCCGAGTCTCGCCCGCGTCGAGTGCGCCCTGCGAACAAATCGCACCAGCATGTTAGGTGATGGAGTGGGGATGGCTTGGTGATGGAGTATGCATGAATTGAAAGCGCTTGATTATCAGGTATGGAGCATTATTGCGTATCTATTATTACATTATATTGCTAATTCCTTTTGATCGTTTTACTTAATCCTAATCACTTCGAGTGGGACAAAAATGTCGTGCACTTTTGATTACCTTTAATACAAGGATAATAATAAATCTGATTGACTTGCTAGATTCGCTTTGCGAACATAGAACTACAGAATTTATTGCTGAATTCGAGGTGCATGAACTTCTTCAAGCCCTACTGAGGCGATTCATCCATATTCAGGGATTAGTTTTAGATCTGGTGCAGGAGAACAAAATTGCAGAGATTCCTTCTTGACTCGCTGCTTTGATCGTGACTAGGCGTGGCTTGCTGCCTCGCGTGTGGTGCGTCGCAGGCATGGCGGAGATCAGTTGAAGGCGTTTTAGGCTCTCAAATGTTTTCGTCCGTGCTGCCTTCTTCCCTTGAGTATATGACAATGAAACTTGCTAGTGTAAGCTCTTTTTTAGCGCATTCTCTCATTTATGGAAAAAAGGCGCTACTGTGCTCGTCATGTCCGTCTGTCTGTCCGTGACTTGACGTTTTCGTCGACGAGAAAATGCGCTCTCTGTCACTCAATGCAGTGAGTACTGAGTTATATTTTTTCATTGTACTTTTACCGTTTATTTCACGCTTTCTAACTGCAATATTGGCCATAATATTGATACCGACTATTTGAAGATCAACACAGGCGGTAAATTCTGCTTTTTGATCCGGAAGCTTGCATAGGTAATTATTGGATATTATTAGACCAGAGTGCGCACTTCGGGATCGTCGCGTGGAATAATAAAGTGGGAGGTAGTATGATGGGCGGAATGGAGGGACTTGGTTTGTTAATAAGCAATTCTCAATCAAATAATCAACCTTAAACCGGAATAAAGAAGACTTAATATTAGGTTGGATAGAAAATGAACTATCATAAATGCCCGCGCAAAACACATTCTAAGACACCACCAATCGTGTAATTACTGAAGTCGAGCTCAGACTAGGCTGACAGTTCGTCAGGGCTGAAAACCACGCTTAGTGTTATTATTTGGAGAACAAAGTGTAGGTCGAAAATGTAATGTGCTTTTATCAATATTCTCATAATTATGAAGCAAAAATCGCTTAAATATGACCTCTGTATTGTAACACTTATCTCTTCAGTATAGGTGTTCGATAACTTGTAGGTTACCATGACGACGACGGTAGAGTTCTCACAACAGTGTCGTGTTATCAGATGTTCAGTGTTCATTTAGTGGTAGTTGGGCGAGAGTGAGAGCTACGAGCAAGTAATTACTATTTTAAAGATACAATAGTAAATAATCATGTCTGTTAACAATTCGAGTGCAGCTTATTGCGACTCATAAACTTCAAATTATTTTTATTTTATCTGGCGTTGGTGGTACTTGAAGATCGGAAGCGTGTATTCCATATCAGTAAAAATCAGAATCTCTTTGGTGCAATTCAAATTAATCGGCACAGTTTATACTGCCATTTACTCGTTTACTCGAAGAAAATGTATCCAGTTTCTGACAGACTCCTGCCCTGAGAGGTCAACCCTCAGCGTAAAATATTCAGTGACTCCAGTGAGCGCGGCAGCGAAGTATGAGGTACCTGCTACCTCGCACCCTCAGACGTTAGGTGCTACCCTCGTACTCTCAGCTAACGTTTGAGGGTACGAATAGTACCTAACGTCTGATAGTTAATAGGGTTATAGCTATATATATATAGGGTTAAAGCTATAACCCTATTAACCATCAGACGTTGGGTACTATTCGTACCCTCAAACGTTAGCTGCTTTCCTCGTACCCTCAGACGTTAGCTGCTACCTTTTTGCCCTCAGACGTTAGGCATTCTGCGTACCCTCAAACGTTAGCTGTTACCATCGTTCCCTCAGACTTTAGTAGCTCTGCGTACCCTCAGATGTTTGGAACTTGTACTCATTAGAAGTTAGGTACTTATCGTCTCTCGTGCTCATGGAAGTGCGCCGAAAGTTGAGACATGGAAACGAAAAAGTTACGCGTTTCGTTTATAGTTCAGCTTTTATTTAGAAACAGGACGCAAGCACTCACTAGATAGTTAGGCCAGTTATTATTCCTTAGTTTGAGGCTACGTGCAAAGTTTATATCTATAAACAGGACGCAAGCACTCACTAGACAGTTAGGCCAGTTATTATCCTTTCGTTTGAGGATACGTGCAAAGTTTATTTTTTATTTAGAAACATCACGCATTCGCTCAATAGATAGTAATTAGCATTGTCATTATTTTTTCGTTTGAGGCTATATGCAAAGTTTATTTTTATTAGGAACCTAAACGCAAGTACTCACTAGATAGATAGACCAGCAAAGCGCAGCCCGCGGCCGCTGGTCCCAAGCGCCTCGGCCGAGCATGTCCCTCCTGAGGCGGCCTGCGTACGACGACATCCACGGGTTCGTAGAGCGCGTCGAAGACGTCCTGCTGAGCGAGAGTTCCTGGTCCACCAGCGACTCTGAGTGCTCCGGCTGCCTGCACCTCAGCAAGGAGAGTGTTGCTGATCCTCTGCTACAAGGGCACTGCCCTCCTCCAGGCGTCACGGAGCAGACCCCGCTGTGAGTTTAAGGGGTCGCGCTGCGAGTTTCAGGGGTCGCGCTGTGAGTTTCAGGAGTCGCGCTGTGAGTTTCAGTGGTCGCGTTGTGAGTTTCAGGAGTCGCGCTGTGAGTTTCAGTGGTCGCGTTGTGAGTTTCAGGAGAAGCGCTGTGAGTTTCAGTGGTCGCGTTGTGAGTTTCAGGGGTCGCGCTGCGAGTTTCAGGGGTCGCGTTGTGAGTTTCAGGAGAAGCGCTGTGAGTTTCAGTGGTCGCGTTGTGAGTTTCAGGGGTCGCGCTGTGAGTTTCAGGGGTCTTGCTGTGAGTTTCAGGAGTGGCGCTGTGAGTTTCAGGATTGAGTGCTCGGTATGTGTTATTGTTATATTATTGGTATGTGTTATTGGGCAGCAAATATGCATTAAAAATGAGTCCCATGAAAATTATTGATGGTGTGACAGCTCTTTGATCGCATTGTGCGTGAGAAACATTGGACCGATAAATATTGCAATATTACGAACCTTATCCCATGCCCTCAAGCCCATGCCCACACCGCCATACCCCCAGCCCCACGCCCCACGCCCTAAGCCCCGTGCACCCAGCCTTATCCCCCTGCCCTCGTGCCCGCAGCCTAATGTCCCCAGAAGCCAACCCCATGCTCCTAGCCCCACCCAGAGCTGTGAGGAAGTCCTCATAATAACGGCTGTTGTTCATCCCCCAGAGTGGAGCCCCCAACGACGCCCCCTACCGCCTCCCGACCCAGGAAAAACTCGAGGCTCTCTGTCGCAGGTGAGGGAAATGAGAGCAGCTATTGTAAGAGTGAGGGAAGGTATTGTAAAAGTGAGGGCAGCTATTGTAAAAGTGAGGGAGGCAATTTTAAGAGTGAGGGTAGCTATTTCAAAAGTGTAAAGGCTATTGTACCAATGAGGGCGGCTATTGTACCAGAGCGGGCGCCTTTTGTATTAGAGCGGACAACTATTGTACCAGAGGCTACTGTAACGGAGCGGGCAACTATTGTACCAGAGAGGGCTGTTCTTTTATCAATGTTTAACATTATACAATGGCAGAGTTAATTGAGTCTGTCTTCAAAGCATCGAATTTAAGTGCATTGAAGGTTTATTTTGTGTTTTTCATGGCCTAAAAATGCGCAAGTTAATTGGTTATTCGTAATCTAGTCATGATCCCTTTGCTAATGCACCCCTTTGCCATGCAGCCCTTTTTAGCGCATTTTCTCATTTATGGAAAAAAGGCGCTTTTTTGCTCGTCATGTCCGTTTGTCTGTCTGTCCGTCCGTCTGTCCGTCCGTCCGTGACCACGTTTTCGTCGAAGAGAAAATGCGCTCTCTGTCACTCACTGCAGTGAGTATTGAGTTATATTTTTAAACCTACCTCCTTTCCGTGCTGTCCTATTTTAACCTACTTATTTTCCATGCAGCCCTTTTGTATAACCTACCGTTATTCCATGCAGCCCTTTTGTATGAACTACATCTTTTCCATGCTGTACTATTTTCTGTTCTATGTTCACCACAAAATTGAGAGTTGTTAGCACGCAGCAAAGTATCCCCGTGTTGAGCTACCTAGCCCCGATACTGACGCGGCATCTTCTCATTCCCCTCACGCTCCCCACCCACGATATAGGGCTCGCCTGGAAGAGGTTGTCAGGCGCAGGCCCCAAGAAGCCCTCAGACCTGCCCTCGCCTGCTGCAGCCTGCCTCTCCTCGCCTGCAACAGCCTGCCCTCTCTCGCCTGTAACATCCTGCCCTCTCTCGCCTGCGGCAGCCTGCCCCTCTCGCCCTCAGCACCTGTGAGGACCTCTTTCGTATGTTCTCTTTCTTCCTCATTCACCATTTGTGCGCTTTACTAATGCTGTTGTAGAGGTTTTTAATGCTTAAGGTATAATATTTAAGTTAATTTCATTGTATTTATGCGTAGTGTGATTAGTATTGAAATGATTATATGTGATATTAGTGGCAGTGGTGGTGGTGGTATAAATGTAGGTGGTATAAATGTAGGTGGTATTAGTGGTAGCGTGTCCAACCACGAGGAACAGGTCCAGGACATTAAGGATCCCATAAGGTCTTAAGGCACTTGAGGTCTGGGCGGTTATTAGAAATTTGAGGACATTGAGGTCATTACGGATATCAAGGATAGTAAGGACATTAAGGAAATTGGTAATATTAATGACATCAAAGGTTTTGAGGACATTTAAGATGTTAAGGACATTATAAGAACATTAAAGGCAGAAAGGAAATTAATGACATTAAGGGAATTAAGTGATATATAGGATATTATGGAAATGAAAGGTTTTGAGGACATTTAAGATTTTAAAGACTTTAAGAACATTAAGGGAAGAAATGAAATTAAGTACATTAAGTGAATCAATTATATCAAGGATATTAAGGAGATTAAGCGAACTAAGGATATTGAGGATGTTAAGGACATAAAGGGAAATAAAGAAATTAAGGACATTAAGGGAACTAAGTATATTGAGGATGTTAAGGACATACAGGATGCTAAGGTCCCCCCAGGGGCGCGATGCTGCGGCAGCGCGACGTGCTGGCCGCTGGGGCGCAGCCGTGGCACAGGAACATCTGCGCCTCCAGCGGCCGTCGCTTCGCTTACGCCGCCACACTCGTCATCTACGTGTACGAGGTGTGTGGCGTGTACGAGGTGTGTGGCGTGTACGAGGTGTGTGGCGTGTACGAGGTGTGTGGCGTGTACGAGGTGTGTGGTGTGTTTCGAACTTGGTTAATGAGAAATAATTGACTCATCAACATTTGAGGCATAGAAGAACAAAGACATAATTATTCAAATTTTATTTAGACATTGCATTTCCAGCCGAGTAATATAAATAAAATAACAGTTCGCACCTAATAGTTCTATGCGTAAATAAACATGACTCCTGCAGGAGGCTGCTGGCGGGTGGCAGCTGTGCTCGGTGCTGGCTGACCACCGCAAGACCATCACCTCTCTCGCCTGGCACCCTCGCCTCACTGACCTCCTCGCCAGGTACACGGCCCTTATATAGCCTCTCGGTACCCTCGCTGCCTGAACTGCTGGCAGGTGCCCTGCTAGCGGGTCAGGCGAGGTTACTAATAACACGTCACTAACACGTATCCAAGATGTCACTAACACGTCATTACTAGCATGTCACCAACATGGTCACTAACACGTTATAGCGGCAACTCGCCACTAACACGTCACTAACACCTCACTAAATCGTCGCTATCATGTCACTAACACGTCACTAACACGTCACGTGCAGTTCGTCGCAGGACCAGACGGTGTGCGTGTGGAGCGTGACGACGCAGGCTGTGCTGCACGTCATCAGCCTCTGCCGCGTGCCCGTCCTCGTCGCCTGGTGCTGCATCGTCCCTAACACGTGCGTTAATTTTGATCAGCCGTGGTTAGCATTGATTATGATCAGCCGTGGTTAGCATTGATTATGATCATATTTGATTAGCATTGATTAGCATTATGATTAGCATGATTAGCATTATGATCATCTTTGATTGGTATTAGGTATGATGAACCGTGATTAGCATGGATTATGATCGTCTCTGATTGGTATTAAGTATGATCATCCACGATTAGCATTGATTAGGATCATCTTCGATTGGTATTTAGTATGATCATCCACGATTATTATAACTTACGGCAAAAATATATAAATATACCATAAATTATGGTGTGAATATGAATAATATAAATTAATTATTTTAAATCATGACTTGAGTTAAATATGATCATCCATGAAAATGGCAATTTATGTCGACTGATGTCATAAACGGATGATTTTCCCATACCAATATCAGTTTTGATTACCATGGCATTGGGCTCCATCCATCCACTTCACTGAGCCCAATATAAACCCTATGTCTGAACCCCATGTAACCCTCCCAACACCAGGTTCAGAGTAACACCGTCATTAAGCCGAGAACAACACTAAGCCCCAAGCAACCACCGACACTAAGCCCCAAGCAACCCCAACAAGCCCCAAGCAGCTCTTAAAGTAAGTTCCATGCAATCATAACATGAAGGCCCACGTAACTCCAACACTAAAACTCACTCAGCCACAAGGCCGGCGTGGCCCTCTACCGCTGGCACCCCAACCAACCTCAAAACTTAGCCCCACTCAGCCCTAACAACAAGCCCCACGCAGCCCCAACACTTAGCAGCCCCAACAAGCCCCACGCAGCCCCAACACTGCTGAGCCCCAACAGGGCTGAGGTGTCGCTAAGCACGGCCGTGGGTCCGGTACAAGTGTGGCACTACCAGGGGACGGGGCAACCCGAGCCCTACCGGCAGTGCCAGCCATACAAGGCCGGCGTGGCCCTCTACCGCTGGCACCCCAATCAACCTGGCAGGCTGGTGGTTGCCCACACTGATGCCAGGATAACGCTTTATGGGGAAGGTGGGTACTCGAGGTATTCTTCAGGCTGTCTAAAAAATGAACTGAAAATTACTTGGTTACCAAAAGTATTTCCTATATTCAGCCGCTGGCGGCGCCCCGAAAAAATCGTATTGATACCCCATAGTAATCCCGGAGTCATTCTCAGTAACACTTGAGTCCTTCCCATTCCTAGCAGGCGGTTACCTCAGTAAGTCTTACTGCATGCTTTATAGTTGAAACTTCCCTGAAAACTCCTTATGCTCCTTATCCCCAGCAGGTGGTTGCCCCAGCAAGTCAAACAGAATCCCCTGACTAACCCTAAGATCATTTAACCCCACAGGATCCCCTGACTAACCCTAAGATCATTTAACCCCTCAGGATCCCCTGACAAACCCTAAGATCATTTAACCCCACAAGATCCCCTGACTAACCCTAAGATCCCCTAACCCTCACAGGATCCCATGACTAACCCTAAGATCATTTAACCCCACAGTATCCCCTGACTAACTCTAAGATCCCCTAACCCCCACAGGATCCCCTGACTAACCCTAAGATAATTTAACCCACAGTATCCCCTGACTAACCCTAAGATCATTTAATCCCACAGCATCCCCTGACTAACCCTAAGATCCCCTAACCCCCACAGGATCCCGTGACTAACCCTAAGGTCATTTAACCCCACAGGATCCCCTGACTAACTCTATGATCCCTTAACCCCCACAGGATCCCCTGACTAACCCCAAGTAACCCATAGTATGCCCTAAGCCCTGACTAACCCTAAGTAACTCACAGTATCCCCTAAGCCCTGACTAACCCTAAGTAACTCACAGTATGCCCTAAGCCTTGACTAACCCTAAGTAATCCGTAGTATCTCTTAAGCCCTGTCTAACCCTAAGTCCCTCCCTTCCCCGCAGGCGGCTCTCCCAGCAAGTCCCACTGGTACCCCGGCAGCGCGCTGGACTGCTCCGAGTCTGCGGTGGGCTGCGTGCTGGGGCTGGAGTGGGCTGTCTGCTCGCCTGACTTTTTGTTGCTGGGCTACACAGGCGGGCAGCTGTGGCTGCTGGACGCCGCGCAGCTCTGCGTCGTCACGGAGTTCTGTCCGCCTGCGTCTGCGACACTCGCCTGCTTCGCCTGGCTGCCGCACGCGCCTGGCGTCTTCGTGTCCGGAGGTCGCTGCCACTGTTCAACCGCACGATTTATGCAAAATTATTACCATTTTTATGCTTGCCTGATAGGATTCTATTCCATCTACCCATTATTCCCATCTTTATTTCTGTTACATCTGCGCATTATTCCTCTCCTTTTTTCTACCCCATCTGCGCATTATTTCCATCATTTTTCGGTCCAATTTATGCAACGTTCCTACGTACACTGAGCTCGAACATATATCGAGGCTCTCGATTTCAGCCCAAAGTGCCGACCGTGCTTTTTTTCAAGCCTCCGAGGTTAGTCGTGAAAGTTCTGTGCGTCTTGCGCATTTCATACAATACATACGTTTACTTACTACATGTTTTACATGTTGCACTGCCTATTCGTTTACTCAATTTTGTACATTTTCCAGACCGAGACAAGGGCATCTTGCGCGTCTGGACGGCCGGCAAAAGCACGCCGATGTTGTCGTACACGTTGAAGGATACTGGCTTCCACGAGCTCTGTGGCGCAGGAGACACTGCACCTCAGCGTGGGTATTATGCCTTTTTTTAATGCTGCGCGTGCTGTGCTGTGCATATAGGGCTGTGCAGACAGTGTTGTGTGTTTAGGACTGTGCGACGTGCGTGCAGCTCTGTGCTTGAAAATCTGTGCGGGCAACGCCGTGCATGCAGTGTTGTGGTTGCGGGGCTGTGTGCAGTGCTGTGGGTGATTCTTATTGACAGATGAATCATCTTCAGGAAACATATGTAATCCAAATACGAAAATTATTTAAGTCTTGTTAGTGCCGCATGAGTCTGAAGAGTGACTGTTGTTAGGCCATCAGATAGAAACGTAAGTTCCCTATTAATCAGTTCAGTTAAAAGCTAAAATAAATATTCAAGCGTTGTGCCTGAAGAATAATTGTGTACTCGACGGAGACGAACGGGCAGTGGGCACGTGCGAACTTCCACGACCGCAGATTGAAATAATGTACAGGAACCACGTTACTCAAGACAGAAGAATGAAAACGGTCGTATTCCGGACACGGTCGTATTCCGGACCGTATTTCGGACCGTATTACGAACCGTATTCCGGACCGACGATGTCTGCCCGCTCTGGGCTCATTATGTGTTCCGCTGTTGCTGCAAGTAGCGCATCGGTCGAGCTACGATAATGACTGCGGCCAATGCAACAATCTTCGTCACAACACTTTCGTCTCAGCATAAAAAACCATCTGATTTTATAAACAAAGGTGACAAAAAATGTTCAGCGTCATCGTAAAAGCTTATTAGTTGTTATGTGGCAATCGAACCCTTCAAACTGCAATTTTGATTAGTATTATACGGATTTTATTGACGGGTGGCGATTTTAGTGCAGTAGCTGGTGAGTGGCGACTTTTGTGTCATTGTTGGTAGTTTGTTAAAATTATATAGGATCTGGTGCTTCTTTACATTAGTACATCAATCAATTAGCGTAAATTGACGGTTGTGTAACGCTACGAGTTATTAATTTACAGCTTGAAATTTGTTGCTTTTTGTGTATATTCATGTTGATTAGAATAAAATATTCCACTAATGAATAAGTAATATTCTGACGTTAAATTCTAGTTGTGTGCTGCATTCCTGATACGCGGTTTAACAAAACTTCTACATCAAGGGAGGTGTCAAGATCACGAATATTTATTCACGATAAGATAACTCATTTTTAATCGAAATATTCATCATTAGCCTGAAATATTGGCTGTTGGACATCATGCCACGATAGTTACAGTGATTACGGATCAGTTCAAGTGGTCCGTGCTCTGAGTCTCGAAGTCTCTGTTACGTTATTGTATGGCAAGAGCCCCCGATAATGCTCGGCGTTATGTCAGTCTCGGAGCGTTCCTTTGCTGCCACTAGCAGCCGAACTCTGCATGAGGACGAGGCCGTCACGAAAGAATGAACGTGCAGCGCTAAAAGTTATATTTACGAAGATAAACAAACTTCAGAAGGAGGTTAAAAATCTCGACAAGAAATATGCAGGAAGTTAGACGTTTTCTCTATGGGAAGCACAGAGCGGAGATCGTGGAGTGAGTTTAAAAAGGTTAACCATGCTCTGCTGCAGCTTGTTCGCAGTTCCGGTCCCTCGCATGAGGTTGATGAATAAATCGATCTTCGCAACAGTAAGAGAGAGAAGTGTACGGCAAAGACGAAGAGCTGAGCGAGTATGTGGTGTTGGAGCTAGATTCAGTCTAATTCGCATCCAGTCTAAAAACTCTCTCAACTTTGCCGCGAGGAAAGAAATTTGTTTGGAAACAAAGTTGCTGGTACTTCAGCTGTAGACAGAAAAGAAGAAAATCGAAGTCGAAAGCCCGACACGTGAGAAACAAATTGCCGAGATGAAGTGCATTTTGGAGAACCATGAAGCCCACTTGGAGGCACAGCCTATCTCTCAGGGCCGGGTTCGGATGAGGTGCTCTCCTGGCAGAGCGGCAGATCGCCCAATGGTTACGCGTCGCATGACACAGCTGTGAGTGACCATCAGCCGACGTACGGCGGCACTGGATGGGCTTGGGTGAAAGTGAAGAGAAGAAGAAATTTGAGAGGAGAAGAAATTGAAGAGAAACTCGTTCATGACCTTGAACTAACTGTGAGGCAACATTTAGTGACCACATAAGAGTAATATTTATTACAAGAGAAGTTGTGGTTTTGACGAACGTTTCAAATAAGGGAAACAATGTCGATATTTATTATCTTCAGAGCCTCGCTGTCGTCGCCTGGATGACTGCTGCCTGCTATGTGTACCATTCACGGTAGGGACGGTGTGAAGAATGAAGGCAGTCTAGTAAATCGGCACGTCATGGGTTATTTGCTATTAGATTATTAATTGTTAAAGGAACCTCAGCGCGCATGTCAGAGTCAGAGATACTCAAGATTATGCAGATTGTACTAATAGAAGGAGAGAAGGAATATGTCATATTGTAAGGTTGGAAGATTCGGTTAGGTATAAAGTTGAAAAACCTGCGGTGCAACTTATCCATGCGACAACACCAACTGAATAAATGCGGTGTAACTCCAAGTCACCTACATGTAGAACAGCTTCTCTGCTGACATCGTTGACGCTCCGAGTATGAACAGATTCAAGAAAATACTAGATAAAAATATACAGACTAGATAAAGATATACGTGTTTCGACTAGAAGTGCATCCCACCTCACAAATTGGTGTATGATTAGCAGCTACTTAGCTTCAACGTCAGCTTTGCATTAATCTGGTCAAAGGCCGTCTTTCAGCGAGTTAAACAAAAAGAATCGGCAACAAGCCAAATTTGAACTATTCTTCAACAACCATACTACTATACTATTCTACTATACTATGTATCTCATCCAATACATGCACGAAGAAAATGATACCAAAACTATTACCAAACTTTGACCATTTACGGCACATATGGACAATGAGTGGAAATTATGCGGGAACGATTCAATCTCGGCGGGAACGATCCTTTTCAGAAGATTGCAACAGTTTGCTATCTTTTTGGCATTTGGCCTAAGCGAGGTCTCTTGCGTTTTACTGGTCATCCCGTCTTTGCGAAGAAATGACGGATTAAATCTAGAGAAAAAAAACGTGTCAGGTTAACATTGGGCAACCTAATTTACCTCAAGAACGGAAAATTTCTTGCAGGAGAGGCTGATGGGCGTGTGGGGAAGGCGGAGGGTCAGGCCGGACTTGTGGTGCCCTCGGTGTTGGTGTTGTGCCTCTTCCAGGACGGCGGCATTGGGCTCTATCATGTGCGCCGGAAGCACTGGGTCTTCAACAGAGAGCACGTGAGTGCAAGGGGGCGCGTGAATGTTTGTTGTGGGACAAGTTTGTTTCTTAGATGGTGCCCGCTTCTCCACTTAGGGCCCGTTGGTACAAATAGGGCCTGTTTGAAAACACACAGAGCACGTCTGTACACACCTAGGGCTGTCTCTTATACACATCTAGATGTGTATAAGAGACAGGTATTACGAACCGTATTCCGGACCGACGATGTCTGCCCGCTCTGGGCTCATTATGTGTTCCGCTGTTGCTGCAAGTNAAGGTCTGCTGGCTTCGTACGCCTGGCAGTCGCAGGAGATTGCTGCCGTTCGGGCTAAAGTTTGTTGTGAGCGTTATGATTCGTACGATCTGTGTAGAAGATGATGGAACGAAGTAGTTGAATTCCTCGCGGATACAATTTTGTTGTACCAAGGCCCGGAAAAAAGCTCTTTGATTAGACCCCTCGACCGACAAATCTATTGGAATTATGGGCACTTTCTTATTGGCCGTTATTTGATTCGCAAGAAGATTGTGTCCCTCCGTAGGTAATGAGGAAGGACTTGAGAAAACTTGGACCAATTGAACTTAACTTAGTCAAATATAACCAATCTAATCCATGCACGAACCTGATCTTCCTCGAACCTGATGCACTTCCCCAACCTGACCCACTCGCCCAACCTGACCGACTTGCCCAACCTGACCAACTTCCCCAACCTGACCCACTTGTAATGAAGTCCTCTACTTCATCGGGTTCGCTACTCGGGTGCTACAAACATCAGCCACCAAAAATAATTTATTAAACAAGAACAATAATGAAACGGTATTGCTAGAAACAATGGAATGATCATACAAGTTGAGTGCCCAATCAAATAGTTCACAATGGATGACAGAGGTCGTTGCCCGTCCCTGGTCCAGGGAGCTCGCGATGATCCGTCCAAACAAGTATTTGGAATACACGGTCCCGGAGGCAGCTCACTCTCGTGACCCGCAACCCCATATTGGAAATAAATATTTTCATACTGACTGATATTACTCACTTAAGCACTCGCATAACAGATTCTATATATGATCACATTTTAACCAATTTACATGGAACAGAAATAGCTAATTTATTGCTAGGGTACATTTGGTCTAATATAGCAGCTCACAAATAAAGGCAGTGTAAGTTGACTCAAGGCACAGCAAGAGAGTGGCTCAATAGGTCAACTAGGCCTAGAAATGGGTTGCTCACGGTACGACCTTCTCTTAACGACTGACCTAACGCACGATATAGTCTCGTAAGAACGCTTTCCTTTTGGTGTCTTCTAATTTGTAACTAACAATCTTACACCACTTACCCAACCGAACCCACTTGCCCAACCTGACCAACTTCCCCAACCGGACACACTGTTGAACCTGTCCCACTTGCCCAACCTGACCAACTTCCAAAACCGGATCCACTTACCCAACCTGACCCACTTGCCCAACCTGACCAACTTCTCCAAATTGACCCACTTTTGCAGCCTGACCTACTTCTGCAACCTGACCTGACCTACTTTTGCAAACTACCACGCAGGTCGCGACGTTACCGAATTGTGGCGCCATTATTTACTCGCTCTCCTGGGCGCCTGCCGACCTCAACTGCATCGCCGCGGCCACCAGCGACGGCCGCGTCTTTGTCTGGGACGTGGCAGCGAATAAGGTCAGGGTCTTTGTCTGGGACGTGGCAGCAAACAAGGTCAGGGTCTTTGTCTGGGACGTGGCAGCAAACAAGGTCAGGGTCTTTGTCTGGGACGTGGCAGCAAACAAGGTCAGGGTCTTTGTCCATATTGCGTCACTTAAGTGCGCATATAACATTCAAATACTGGGGACAAGAAATATTCTCAGGCATTAATGACCAACAAAAGACGGTAACAACTTCCATTTAAGCCACTCAAATCTAAGGCGTTATGGAACCAAATAAGAGTTGTTGAATATATTTTAGTGTCGAGGAGTGGTGGTATGGATTTTTATTGTTGTGGTTATTGATGTCGAACTCACCCGGCAGATCCTGCAGCACTTTAAGGGCCACAAGAACAACAAGGTTTACTGCGTCGCCTGGAACCAACGCGACTCCCGCAGAATAGCGTCTGCTGGTGAGATGTGTGGCTGTGTTGCTGTCTGGTGCTGCTGTGTGGTGTTGCCGTGTTGTGTGGCTGTAATCCACCGAGTCCGTGGCTGTAATCCACCGAGTCCGTAGCTGTAATCCACCGAGTCCGTGGCTGTAATCCACCGAGTCCGTGGCTGTAATCCATCGAATCCGTGGTCAATAACCCAATAAACGTCGCCTGCAGGCGAGAGCTGCCTGTGCGTAGTGCACGAGGTGAGCGGGCAGCAGCTGCAGGCATACGTCCACCCTGCGCCGGTGTACGGCACTGACTGGCGGGACGCAGGCACCCTCGCCACGGCGTGCCGCGACGGCGTCGTCAGGATATTCAGCGTCACGAGCCCGCAGCCCGTCACGTTGCTTAAAGGTGGGTCAACCTACTGCCGTGATACTGTTTGAAAGTGGGTCAGCACGTCACGATGCACAAAAGTGCTTCGACTTACAAGCCGTGACGCTACTTAATAGGGAGGGTCAGCCCGCAGCCCGTGGCGCTGTTTGAAGGGGAGTCAGCCTACGGCCCGAATGCCGCTTCAATTAATTCACAAAGTAGGTGGTAAATATTTTTTATTTGTCCGCAAAGAAATACAAAAATTGAATTTATACTATCAAATTTGATAAAATGCTTTTTCTGATTTGGCATCTAATTTTGTTTAAATCTAATTTTTTAAATGGTTCTCGATAATATCATAACATAACACAACATAGCGATGTCAGCGCTGAAGTGTAGGCCTGATGTGGCCAGTCGCCGATTCTTTTCCTTTTCGTGACTTGTTTACAGAAGATCTAAAATCGTGTCATTTGACCGGATCTTTTCATGACTGGTGATAGTTTGAAGTAGCTACTAGACTTCCACCGGGTTCGATAAGGAGCTAGGCATTTCAAATCAGAACATATATTTTTCCATAGCTTTATCTAGTCTGTTCTTGAACACGTCCATACTCAGAGCACCAACGACGTAACTGGGGAGGCTGTTCCACATGTCGATGATTCGAAGCGAGAAGAAATTTTGTCGCGTGGATAAGTTGAAGCGCAGTTTTTTAGATAATTGCCGTGGCCCCTGGTGTTGGTTCTTGTTTCAAATTCTAGTAATCCTTCGGGGACCTTGTATAAACCGTGTGTATACTTCTATACTTCAATGAGGTCCCCACGCAGACGTCGATAACTGAGGCATGAAAGCTGCTATCGATAAGGTCATGGGTTCTCATTTCTCTCCCAGAGTCATGGGTTTCACTGTGATATCGTTTTAATGTGTCAGTAATGTTCATTGTGAGATATTACCATCTTACTGTATCAATATAATGTTCAGGGTGAAGTGGAACCCCAAATATACTAGGAATCACATTCGACCCAAAACTAAACTTCAATACCCACATCCATAACACACTGACAAGGCAACCAAAACAATAAAAATTCTAAAATCTCTCACATCAACAAACTGGGGAAAACAAAAAGAAGTCCTACTGACCACCTACAAAACTGTAACACAAGCTATAATAGAATAAGGCAGCACCATCTGGTCCCCCAGCTTAGCACAAACTCACACAAACAAACTACAAACAATCCAAAACACAGCACTCCGCATTGCAACAGGTTGTACGGCTGATACTAACCAAAGCCACCTACACACAGAAACAAAAACGCTTCCAATAGACCAGCACCTCGGACTCCATGCATCCCAACTCAGACTATAAGCTCAAGCACCAACCCACCCATTTCACACTCATATACTCAACCTTACAACCCACCCAGACTTATGAAACAAACTGTTTTCATAAACAGAAACTATACCACCAACATACTCATAGAACCAGATCAAGCCACAAAAGAAACACTAAATAGATGCAAGAAACAAATACACACTACAATCACAACCAACTACATAGACAATCTACCAAACAATGCTGTACTTTCGACACCAGCACCAGCCATAGACTCTTCATAAACCCAATAACCCAGACACACACGCCGAGCACTTGCACAACTCCGTACAAACAAGTACCCCCTACTACACCAATACCTACACAAGATAGATCCAGCCACACATCCGTCCCCTCTTTGTCCACTCTGTCTCAGACATGAACACAACACCTGCCACCTGTTCGGCTGCTCGGAACTGGTCACGTCCTTGTCACCCCTGGTTTTGTGGAACTCTCCCATCGAGGCGGCAGGACTGTTGGCGCGCTGGGGAGAGAGGTTGGGCTGGCCACAGGAATGGGTGTAGGCCCCGTCCCGCATTTGTCGCGGGACGGGGAGGGCGAACAACAACAACAACAACAAGTGGAACCCTGTGGTGCCGTATCAGTATCAGCGGTTCAATAGGACCAATTGCCTGCCGCAGGTCACAGCAAGAAGGTGTTCAGGGTGAAGTGGAACCCTGTGGTGCGGGATGTGCTGTGCTCGGGCAGCGACGACTGCACGGTGCGTGTTTGGTCGGCATCGCGCGGCGCGTTGCTTGCGGAGCTGCGAGGCCACACAGACAACGTACGCGGCCTCGCATGGTGTCCCGAACTGCCACACCTCCTCGTGTCCGGCGCGTGGGACGCTGCCATCCGCGTCTGGGACGCGCGTACTGCCACGTGCCTCGACGTGGCCACCGAACACGGCGCTGATATTTACGGTGAGCTGGAGACACGTGGGGAGTGTTGGTGGTATATATAGGGTTTGTGGTGTGGTGTAAGTGACTCGTCTGTATTGGAAATATGTGTGTGGTTATCAAAAAGTGGTTCATTGTGGTTATCAATAAGTGGTTCATTAGTTTGATTGATACCTGAAAAAGTAAACAACGCTAGAAAAACACGTTTCTACTGCAAAACTGATCTCTTGGACTCGTGTCCAGAAGAGTGTTTGTAAGCGAGTTTTTCATATACGTTTAAATCTTCACTCGTTCCTCGGCCAGCATTCCCGAGAACTCGACCCAGTACTCGTGATGGGACAAAAATCTTGTGATACTAGTAGGTTGACTTCATCAAAACTATCAAATAAATTGTTACGCCTGAAATCGCAATATAGAACACTAACTTGGATGCTAACCCTTTATCTTACGGTGGTAACTCCAAGTACTTCAGCCCAGCCGCCAGATAAGGAAGGACTGTTAATGAGCTTCTCACGCGCTGTCTTTATAAAAATAATTTTTTAGTCTGTTACTGAACTGTTCAAGTAAACTATATTTGTTCAACACTATATTTGTTATGTAATTCATTTCGCTCATTAGATCATCCCAGCATACGATAGCTTCATGCCGAGACACTTGCTCCCGTCAGCAAATTTTGAACTCGGGAGTCAGGCACTCAATCGGGCAAGGATTTAGGCAGGTACAAATAATTCTTTTTTACACCTAAGTTTATCATACAAATACACGGATAAATCCGGGAACTTATAAGCTGTAGACCCGTAATGATGACTGGGGAAATAAAATTCTTATATACACAACCTTCAGATAGAAGCCAAGTTTTGCTTGAAAATCGAACAATAAGAACAATCTGAATAAGACTGGATTTGAATGCAAATAGCATCCAAATCAAAGAAATTATAGTATTGAATAGTATATAAGCTTAATACTATTTATAATGTATACTTTTAAGCTTTAAACAACTTCAAGACCTCCTTTTTACTCTCCGGTCCCGGCGCAGGCGTGTCCCTGCACCCCGCGCGTCCCCTGCTGGCGGCGTCCTGTTCCCGGGACTCGACGGTGAGGCTGTGGTCCCTGGCGGGCGCCGCCGCGCCCCTCCACCTCTCCTTCCTCGCGGGACATCCCCTGCAGGAGCTGCTGGCTGCCACAGGTTCTGCCCGAATGGATTATTAATTTATATTTTAAGGCCCTGAAAAGCGATGGTGTTCAATGCCCCTCCGCTTGGGTTCAATGCCTGCGACTATAATATTTGACTTACGATATATTATGAGCTTACGACCCGAGTCACATAATCATCTTACGACCCGAGTTACATCATCATCATCTTACGACCCGAGTTACATCATCATTTTACGACCCGAGTTACATAATCATCTTACGACTCGAGTTACATAATCATCTTACGACTCGAGTTACATAATCAGCTTACGACTCGAGTTAGATAATCATTTTACGACTCGAGTTACATAATAATTACAATTATGTGAAGTGCATGCCACTCACGACTAAGAAGAGAGTGAAGTATAACCTTCTTGGTCACGCATTGATTTCGTAGCACTTCTTCTGGCGTTAGTCAATATTTCATATCCTTTCTTCTGTCATCCGCTACTCTTCTTTACCGCTGCATCGCCCAACTTGTGTGAAATGCTGGTCTCATTATTCGGCAGAATTTATTTGCACACGAAAGCGTTGCGGCACCATATCCTTTAACAGTACATGGTAGAGGGACATAAGAGGAGGTGCAAATAAGAAAAATGAATACTTTTGTCTTTTTATTTTCGGCTTTCGTGCGCGGAAAATTGGAATAGAATTTAACGTTTTGCAAAATCCCACATCGCTTATAAGAGATTGACCTAGTCCAAAAATGTTGCTTTCTTTGACACACCGTTCGTTGGCTGCAATGTTTTGCTCTCTGGTAAGTGATATAATGGTTGGGGTATGAAGATCTTCGTGGAACTAAACCGGCACCATTTGGGCTGTTGTATTTTATCACTGTTTACCTCCTCCATCCTCTCTCATTCGTGATTGAAAATTTAAATCTACACCCCTAATTTTTCTTACCTAACCCTTCACCGTTCTCCCCAATTTCTTAGCGAATATCTCACGTTCGCTGCCTCTTCCTCACAGACGAAGTGTCCTCGGAAACTTGGGGCGGTGCCCAAATGAAGCTCTGTGGGGTGCGGGCACAGCACTTACTCGCCCAGCTGAGCAGCAGCACCGCAGCTGCACAGCGCAGCAGCACGCAGCTGCAACAGCACAAACTGCACAGACTTACAGCAGACGTGTTCGCGGTCAGTGCTTCTTTCTATTGCCATGAAAATAGGATGAGGGAAAGCTGCGCAAATCTAAATCAAGAGTTTGTCATCAAGGATTAGAGGATGCAAGAGAACACGCGGGAATGGCTAGGTCTGGTGATGGAAGCAGACCGCGAGTCCAATGTTTCCATGGTCTAGTGACTCTAGTATCTAGTGGGACGGCCGAATAAAAGACTTCTTGAGGAGAGACACTTTGCTCTCCGACATCCAATAATGGGTTGTCCTACAGAGCAAATAACTTTAAGCCCGAGACGCATTACATAACCGCGTTTTTAGCGCATTTTCTCAATTATTGAAAAAATGCCTTATTGTGCACGTCATGTCCGTCTGTCTGTCCGTCCGTCTGTCCTTGACTTCACGTTTTCGTCGACGAGAAAATGCGCTCTCTGTCACTCACTGCAGTGAATACTGAGTTATATATATATATATTTTTTTTGTGACTAGCAGAGTTCCAGGTGTACACATTTTATGCTTTTAAACAAAAATGGGAACTGCCACGGTATCGAAATCGAGTTCTGCCTCAGCGGAAAGGAATGTAGATTCGGTCTATAAAATTAGCTGTAATATTCATCAATCCATTTCTATGAGCAACTGCGGAAACCCCAGAAACTAAAGCTCACTAGAGTCACGTCGTGAATCACGCAACTTCTCGAAAACTCCCGATGACGTATAGACTGCATTTTTTTAATAGTCTCGCTGTGTTCCGCATATATCAGTGTCTGATAGGTGATACATTCGCCAATTTATACAATTATATTTTGCTTACTTATTAGATAATTCGATGTCATTAGTTTATCCTGTTCATGGGTCAGTTCCCAAGATATCTGAAATCTCAGTTACGCTGCAGGATTTAGCTTACGGCTGAAGGAGAGAGCCGTTGTAACTTACAAAAGAATGGGTGCGTTAGGTGGACGTGCAATCTGGAAAATGAATGGGTCACATTGTCCAAAGAGTGAAACACTTTATGCACGTAGCACTGATCAGCTTTTTTACCCGCTAAACTCGTTGAGGATGACCCACATAAGAGTGAAAAATACCTCACAATTTGGACAAATCTACACGTGGTTATCGATGGTAGCGCTACTATTACTTTCCATGTTACATGGTTAAGAAATAGCGACTCTTGCCTTTGAAATCTTATTCAAAGACCTGCAATTTATTTTGTTTATATATTCAGTATTATTTGATTTCTTGTTTTATTGTGTAGGAGTGATGGCATCAAAATTACTCAGTATTTAGCATAATAATATGGTAAATTTTGTTTTAAACATTAAATATCTTTAATGTTATTGTTATTAGCAATCAAAGCATTATTAATCCATTGGTTGTGTTATCGCCTTATAAATTGTGACGTTTAGGTACGATTGAACGGATTTACTGACGATATTTACACAACAGAATTCACTTACACGCGTGCTCCACGTGTGTAAGTGGATGTAATAGTACGTGCTCCACGCGTGCAGGTAGAGGTTATAATACGTGCTTTAAACGTGCAGGCGGAGGTTATAATACGTGCTTTAAACGTGCAGGTGGAGGTTATAATACGTGCTTTAAACGTGCAGGCGGAGGTTATAATACGTGCTCCTAACGTGCAGGCGGAGGTTATAATACGTGCTCCTAACGTGCAGGCGGAGGTTATAATACGTGCTCCAAACATGCAGGCCGCGGCTCGGTTATTGAATGGGGGAATCCTGCACAGTCTCCCCCTCCTTTCGTTGTAATTTGTCAATATTCCGTTGTACGGAATATTGACGGAAGGAGGAATATTTGTCAATATTCCTCCTTCCGTTGTAATTTGTCAATATATTCAATATTCCAGTCCGTTTATCATCTTCCATGTGTAAAGTATGATATAGGTACCTCTCTCCTCTCCAGTGAGCACAGTCCCAGGTGTTTCAGTCTTTCCCAGTAGTTCAGGTTCAGCTCCCTCATGCCGCTGATCCCGTACGTGAAGGTCCGCTGCATTGCCTCCAGTTTCCACACTGCACCCGTCTTGAGTGGCGTCCAAAGTTGACATCAATTCCCAAGATTAGGGAGCACGAGGGCTCTGAAGAGTGTAATCATTGGTGCTGCTTCTCTCGTTCAAAATGTCCGCCATATCCACCCCATCCGTTGCCGGCTGCGCGCGACTATTTCCTCGAAATGGGCATCGAACGTGGCTTCAGTACTCATCAACACTCCGAGATCTCGAACTAGTTGCTTTTCCTCAATTTCTGTGCCATCTGATGCCAAGTAGCGATGTGGCATTCCGATCTCTGTGTGGACTCTGTATCTCATTACTTCTAACTTGGTGCCGTTTAACTGCATATTGTTCACTAGAGCCCAATCGTAGATTGTCGACAAGTCATCCTGTAACCTCTCGCAGTCTAGGTCATCTGTTATCTTCTTGAGCACTCTTGTATCGTCCGCAAATGATGATGTGGATGCGTGGGTAAGTTCCGAGTCAATATCAGCAATGTGGATGAGGAAGAGGATCGGTCCAAGCACTGAGCCCTGCGGAACTCCGCTTTCACCCTCGCTTCTCTCGATTTCGAGTTTCCAGTTGCGGCAGCTTGAACTCTATCTGTAAGGAAGTTGTGGATCCACGCTAACAGGCTTCCTCTTACCCCCAACAGCCTCAGCTTTTTAAAGAGCACCCCATGGTCAACTTTGTCAAAAGCTTTAGCAAAGTCTGGGTATACTACGTCCATGCCAGCTCCCTCCTCCAGCTGGGCCACAAGGCGGTGATGGTGCTCCAGTAACTGCGAAAAACAGGAGCGAGTACGCCGAAAACCATGTTGTCTATTATTATACAGGTCAGCCTCTTCCATATACTGAACGAGCCTCATGGCCACTACCTTCTCTAAAACATTGATCACGTGTGAGGTCAAGGTAACAGGTATGTAATTTTGGGGTCTGTCCCCTGAGCCTCCTTGTGGATTGGCGTTATCAGTCCCACTTTGAGGCCTTCAGGGATAATTCCCTCCGTCATCGAGGCTTTCCAGAGCATTGTGAGCGGAGCCTCCAATGCTCCAACACACTTCTTCAACAGCACTGCCGGAATTACATCGGGTCCTGGCGCTGAAAACGTTGCCAGTTCTTTGATACTTATTTCCATGTCTTCTGGTCCAAACTCAATGTTCTCCAACTCTCTACCGCCTGGCAGCTCCTGGAGAACTTCAATTTCATTCTCCTCCCTTGAGTAGCGGGGGTTACTGAACACAGTAACTCACACATGCCATAGTCATCTCCGACAATGACTTCGTTATCCTTAAGCGGGCTGTCCTGTGCATCAGGATTTATTTTCCTGTCTAGTATTAAGTGCTCTTTATGTGTATTTTTTCATGCACCTAGTGGCAACATTCTAAGAACCGTTTCATTAGCCGCTACGTCTCGCACGTCAGTTCCTTATCTCGACGCACGATGACTAGGTTATTCGGTGTTACGCCCTTTTTCAGTATTCTAAATTTACTACTTTGAAATATTACTTGAGAAATATCATGACTGTTATATGTATATTCGCGTTCATTTATTTTTGTCATTTGTTTAACCCGCAGCTATCCCTCAGTGTGCTAGTAAGACTTTTCATGTATTAGGGAGGAAATTTAAAGGTGGAAAAAATCTTTCATTCTGATTCAGGAAAGTAGGGCCAAGCACATACATCCACTGCGTTTTGAGGTGCGATTAAAAGCCCAAAATCTGAATGCGTCTTAATCCCTCCGCTGGCTAAGCCAAATAAAGTTTGTACCAGCGTTATGGGCCCACTGGCGTCTTTATTTTAGCGTATTTAAAAAATACTTGGGGTTCTCTTTGATGACCTCAACCACTCGCTATTCCGCGGCTTGTTCTTCCATCATGTGCAAGTCCTGCAGCCTGAGTTCGATTTCCTTGTGCAAATCTACTAGCCTCAGTCTCATCATATCACTAGTAGATTCAGCTATTTGTTTATTTAATCGCTTGCGTTTTCTCATAAGGGTTCGTCGGTCACCCAGGATGCTGCGGACTTTATAGCCTGTTTTTCTCGAGGTATGACGCACACATACATGTGCTAGTTTCTCACACAGTTCTGTGTAGATTTCCTCAGCATTCATCTCGTGAAAATCAACTCTCCAATCGATTTCGTCAATATCATTCCAAATTGCCACCCAATCCGTTCTTCGGTTGTGGAAGTTAAGTCCTGCCAGTCCCACTTGGGGTATAAACCCGGGCTGGGTTTCAATTCCAATTGTCGTTTCCACCATCAATAAGCGATGGTCAGAGAGTGAGGGTCCGTCAACCCGAACGTCAACCACCATTCTTTTATAATTAGTAAAGAAGAGATCGAAGATATCGTGTTCCTTCTTCGGCGACCGTACCTGCTACCTGAGTAAGTGTTCCGCAGCTAACTTAACAAGTTGGGCTTCTTGACTTGTGTCGCGGTCATCGACCTCTAAGCCGCCAGGGCTTGTCCAACGGATTCGTGGGAGATCGAAGTCCCCCCAATTATTTGGTTGGGGCTGGGTCACCCAGTTCAGCCACCCTGGTTTCTATTTCCTTAAGGGTTTTGTTGTAAATTTCCGGTGAGACAAGCAGGAGATCTATAGACAATAGCTACGCACAGGTCGAATTTTTTTATGTGGAGTAGGGCGTGTTCTACAGAGCCGTCAGAGTTTCCAGATTTCGATCTCAATTCTACAGTGCTTCTTGCGAGGGAGTTCCTAAGGTAGACAATTACTTCACCCTTCTTTCTCCCTTCCTTCCGGTCCGCGCGGTAGTGTTGGAATCCTTTCATTGCAATTTCCGAAGCGAGGATATCTTTTCTTAGGTGCGACTCCGTTAGTGCAAGATCCCACCCTCGTCGGCCATCTCACGTAGCACGCCAATCTTGTGACGCGCTCTCAGTGGAAAGAGCCTCTCGATGTTAGCCAGCAGAATGCCAGACTCTTCCCTTATTGGTACGCTTACCTGCGTCTCCACCACTCTGCCTGGCGCCCCTGGCTCAGCAGCTCCTGCATCTGGAGTTGCATTATTTCCAGCTGCTGCATCTGGTGTTGTATTTGTTTCCTCATTAAAAAAAACACTGAAGGTAACCTCTGGCCCCCCGCGTGCGTCCCTGTCCCATACGCTTGGACCACTCACTGGAGTAGCAGGTTGTGAGTGGTGGAGGCCCGCCTCCACCTACACGTTTGCAGGTGGAGGTTATAAGACGTGTAACGTGTACACGTATGCAGGTGAACTATAATACGTGTACTCGTGTGCAGGTGGACGTACACGTGCGCAACCTGTGGGACCTGCTGAGCGTGGTGTGCTTCAAAGCGCCCGTGTCGTGTCTCAGTCATACGTACCCTACGTCCCTGCCACACCACACGCACGTGCCCACGTGTGGCGTGGTGAGTCTTGCGCGTGCCACGTGTGGCGTGGTGAGTCTTGCGCCTGCCCATGTGTGACGTGGTGAGTCTTGCGCGTGCCACGTGTGGCGTGGTGAGTCTTGCGCGTGCCACGTGTGGCGTGGGGAGTCTTGCGCCTGCCCACGTGCGTCGTGGTGAGATTAACCACGTCCGGGAAATGGCCAGAAATCTTAGCTCAGATGTTGAGTCAGCTCAGGACATTTGTGGTAATAGATAGTGTTCAGTGATTATGATTATTATATTATTATTATAACACTGTTATCAGTGATGTTGCATGGGCAGGCTGAGGCGGAGCGTCGACTGCAGGCTGTAGGCGGGGCTGCGTCATCACGCGCTGGGGACCTGGAGGCCATCGCCCTGCAGTGCGTATACCCCAGAGCCCATCTGGCAGTTCAGCCGTTGCTAAAAAAGAATTTGTATTATTAACTTTTCAAATTTAGCTTGAAAATTCCCCAAGTATAGAAATTATCAGCACCACTTTCCAGATAGCCCCTATGCCCTCCACCCCAGATAGCCCCTCCTGCCCTACCCCCTCCCTCCTCCCCACCCCTGCCCCCCACCTGTATAAGTGTTACCACAGCACAACACAAGTTAGCTAAGAACTTATACTGGCAGCGGTAGAGATGGATTTTGGGGTCTACGCTCGACGATGGTAAAATGCACACTAACAAGACGCGTGCTACTATCGTACACGCTAGTGTCCGCAGGTACATACATAATGGTTCGCATGAAGCTCGCTACCAACAGCTCGACACACTACGATCCTCTCCTCTGGTAAGGGGAGAGGATAGCATACACTTTTTCTTTTCGTCTTGCTTCTCGTAATTTTAACCATTAATTAAACGATAATCACGAGTAACCGTGCCGCGGTAACCGTGCAGGTTCGCGCAGAGCGGCGCCCTCCGGCAGCACTGCGAGGCGCTGGTGCGCGCGGGCGCCTGGACGCGCGCCCTCGCCGTCGCCCCCGCCGTGTCGCTCCCATACTGGAGGAGCCTCATGACCAGGTGGGTGCTGGGGGAGCCTCATGGCCAGGTGGGTGCTGGGGGAGCCTCATGGCCAGGTGGGTGCTGGGGGAGCCTCATGACCAGGTGGGTGCTGGAGGAGCCTCATGGCCAGGTGGGTGCTGGAGGAGGCTCATGACCAGTTGGGGGCTGATTGTTGTCACATGATACGTGCCACGTGCCCGTGACGGTCTTGTACGTGCCACGTACCCACGATACGTCCCCCCAGGTACGTGGACGTGCTGCTGAGGGAGGAGAGCGACACTGCCGCGCCGTTCCTGATGGCCGCGCGTGACGGACGCCGTCTCATGGACTTCCATCTGGACCGCGGTCAGCCATAGGGCTAAACAATGATACATGATTGGTGATAATACTTTGCGATGATTGATGCACGTAATGATAATTGATTATAAATGATTATGAAAATCAGGAGGCAAGCCGTAAATTGGTGACAGGAAAGTCAACGTCGTAGCAATTGTGCTAAGATAAATTGAATAGAAATATATTTATTTAATTTCCCTTTACTTTACTTAAAGGTGGACTAATAATATTTCATATTAGTCCATAGGCCATTTTGATCAGGCCGCCTTAATTGGCGATTTAGACTAGAATTTTCACAACCTGTTACGGGTTTCGAACCCCCCAACTCGCTGCTACAATTTTGGTGATCTTAATCACTCGGGCATCCTCAGCTATTAAAAATAATATGATGTATTTTAAATATTATACTTTGTTCAAGATTGCAGTGCTCCGTACACGTGAATTTTATAGCCAAGTTAATTGCATTGCAAACCTTAGTTCCTTTCATTGGCGACCAATATTTTCTTTGTGTAGTGGCATAAAGAATAATTAGATTAATCTGTTCGTGTTATTCTGATATAAGTATTGACGCAGATAATAATTAATTTATTTTGAGAACAAAATGATATTGAGGGCCCCTACTCGACGTGGCATTGAATTTTTATCTGCAGAGAATTGAAGTTATTACTGTATTTAGTTTGAAAGTCGAAAGCCCTTTCGTTATAATTTGAATTACTGATTTATTTACGAACTATTCTATTACTTCATCAAATATAAAAATATCTTTAAGTAAATTGTAGTAAACAGTAACCCTTGTGCCTGGATATCAAGATGGCAGGAATGGATGCTGGAGAGCCAGTTTCCGGCATCAAAATTTAAATTGGTACTTTACCTACAATTTAAGACGTCATTCAAATAGAAACTTTAACGGAAAATGCATAATTTAATTCAGAAATGTGAGGCGAGGCAACAAAGATTGCACTTGGTATATTTTGTGCTCAAAAAATATTTCGGTGCATAATTAGAAATTTGTTCGCAAATCGTAAATGAAAAAAATAATCTCGCAGTGCATGATTAAAATTTTTCTCTGATCGTGCACGAGTTAATTAAATGTGGAGCTTTCTATCCGCTTTTGAGATTAGTAGCCGAAGGTTCAGCTTGGAATTTACGTTGCTCTTGGGTGTCGGATTTCAGATGTCGTTATAAAGTGTATGACCTTATGATGAGTTCAGGACTTCCTAGTTAGGAAGTCACAGGTCACACGCTGATGCGCCGCCTTCGTCGTCCTCCGTCTCCGATACGTCGCTAGGCAGGTCACCCCGCCCTCGGGCCCCGGATGCATGGCTACAAGTGTGTGAACATTTTTACTTGCGTTCAGTGCTTTAAAAAAATTTCAATAACTCGCAGTCTGTCTCATGCTTGCAGGTGACGTGAAAGCCGCCTTCAGATCCTGTGTTGCTCTAGAATCTCTGAGTGCCAAGCCACTGGACAGAGAGCCTTACGATGATGTTCCTGCTGCATCATCAACGTCTGTAGCATCAAAACCTGACGTAGAATCAACACCTGCTACAGCATCAACACCAGAATCATTATCGACACCCGGAATAGTAGCAACACATGCTTCACCCCCAACATCTGCAGTAGCTGTAACCAAGTCAACATCAACACCTGCTCTAGAAAAATTATCTTTGTCACAGCAGGAACCTCCACTACAGGGGTCAAAGTCCCCAAACGTAACCCAGACCACCTGCAACGACATATTAAACAAATTAAACTCCACCCCTACTGTAGCCTCCCCGACACCCGACGACACGTCCCCTTCAGCAGCAACATCCACTGCAGCAGGAACATCTTTTGCAACACCAGCATCTCCTCCAGCAGCCGCAACATCCCCTGCAGCAGCCATATCCCTTGCAGCAGAAACATCTCAGGAGGCCAGGGCCCCACAAAGGGCGTCTCGTCGCCTGCAGGAGAGCGCGGCAGTGCTGAGCGAGTGGTTTCTCAACCGAGGGTCGCCTGTGCAGGCGAGCTGCGCCCTCCTCGCTGCCGACCATTTCACCGTCAGTAGTTCTCAGGGGCACCGTCAGTGATTCCTTGAAGTTTCTTTTAATAACTTGAAATTTTATTAAGTTATGAGATGCGCTGGCCATTTGATAACATAACATAACATAGTGATCTCGGCGCTGCAGTGTAGGCCTGATGTGGCCTGTCGCCGATTCTTTTCCTTTTCGTGCCTTGTTCACAGAAGATCTAAAATCGTGTCATTTGACCGTATCTTTTCACGACTGACGAAAGTTTGAAATAGCTACTCGACTTCCACCGGGTTTGATATGGTGCTAGGCATTTCAAATCTGAACATATATTTTTTCATAGCTTTATCTAGTCTGTTCTTGAACGCGTTCATACTTGGAGCGCCAACGATGTCATCGGGGAGGCTGTTCCACATGTCGGTGATTCGAAGCGAGCAGAAATTTTGTCGCGTGGATAAGTTGCAGCGTAGTTATTTTAGTTTATAGCTGTGGCCCCTGGTGTTGGTTCTTGTTTCAAATTCTAGTAATCCTTCGGGGACTTTGTATAAACCATGAGCATACTTGTATACTTCAATGAGATCCCCACGCAAACGTCGATAACTGAGGCTTTTCATTTCAGCTGCATTGTCCAGCGTTTGACGTGCCTGCTGTATCCTGTCACTGGTGCACAGGGCTGCCTGCTGTACCTGCTGAGGGGTCATGAGCTGGAGCTGCTGCTGAGCGTGGGGCGCCTCCTCGTCGCCAGCGGCGTCGCCGTTAGTGGGGACCTCGCCCCCTACCTCGACGTTGCCCTCACCTACCTCGCCCAGCGCGCCCTCGCTCTCTCCTTACCCCACGTCGCCCTAGATCTCGCCCGAGCCCACTCTCAGGTACTTTGCCTAAGGCGCTCATGTCCAATTTAGGAGGTCCTCGTTTTGGTCACACTGATGCGCCGCCTTTGTCGACCGCAGTACTCAAACCACTACCGGGTTCAAACCACACTGCCAGTCACGGTCCAGTCCAATATTCTTTAATGCGTCTCTAAAAGCATCCAACCCCGCCGTGCAAGATACCTGTCATGCCCATGGTGTGAATGAAAATTCAAATTTTAATTTGTGTGAAATTTAATGCATATGTAGAAATGCACAAAACAATATTGGACTGGACCACGACTTGTATATGCCTGACCTGTGCAAGGCAGCATGGTGTAAAACCCGGTCTTGAAAGGAAGGTTTCCCAGCCACTGGGGTCAGGAGGTAACGTTTAATGTGAATGCCTTGCATCTGTTCGCGTTTCACCAAGCTGATGTAAAATGCAGCGCGCAAAGCTAGCAGCAGTACTTCAGAATGTGGGATCACGAGTGCTCTGAAGAGTGCAATTATTGGCCACAGTTTCTCTTGTTCGAATTGTCTACTAGATTCATCCCATCTGTTGTCTGCCTTTCTGTCTGCTATAAGAATAGAATAGAATAGAATAGAATAGAAGTGTCGGCACTGAAGAAATAGGCCCATAGCCTGTTGCCGATTCTTGAATTTTTCGTGACTTGATTCACAAGGGATCCGGCCTTTGGAACCCGATCTTTCCATAACTGACGATTGATTGAGATAGCTGCTGGACTTATTGCCTGGTCTGCTATAGTTGCTTAGTTTCCAAAATCCTCCCATGGTCAACTTCGTCAAAAGCTTTAGCAAAGTCCAGATATACGACGTCTACGCCAGCTCTCTCCTCCAGTAAGGCCACGAGACGGTGGTGGCGCTCCAATAACTGTGATTACCACAAGCTGCTTTGCCAACGCATACGCCGTCCATCATTATATGCACTTCGGCTCTTCCGTTTACTAGACAATCCTCATGACCACTACCTTTTCAAACACCTTGATCACTCGTGAGGTCAAGATCACTTGTCTGTAATTTGGAGTCAGTCTCCCGTACCTCCTTCGTGGATTGGCGTTATCAGTCCCACTTGGAATTACATCAGTGATAATTCCTCCATCAATGAATCCTTCCAGAACATCGTGAGGGGAAGCTTTCAGGGCTCAGATATACATGTACTGCCGGATCTCCAACGGAGGATGACTTCGATTTTACTCAACTGTCTTGAGTAGCTCTGACTGCTAAACACTCATAGTAGTTTCTTGCAGCTCATACATGCTCTGATCAGCTCCAACGAGGAGAGCGTTATCCTTCAGTGGGCCCACTGGCCCTTTATTTAGCCTCGACTGAGTGTCGCGAGTGCAATCTGATGATGGTACTTTTTGATGATGGCACTTTTTGATGATGGTGCCTTTTGATGATGGTGCGTTTTGATGATGGTACCTTATGACGATGGTACCTTATGACGATGGTGCCTTTGGATGAAGGGGCCTTTTGATGATGGTGTCTTTTGATGCTGCTGCATTTTGACGATGCTACAGATCTATAATGCTGTCTCCTAGTCCTAATGCTGCCACTGCGACAGGGCGTGTGGGGCCTTGTGCTGCAGTGCAGCGTGGTGCTCAGCTGTGACTCGTCCTGCAGAGAGGCTCTGCTGGGACGCTCAGACCTGCAGCAGTTCCTGCAGTCTGCTGGAGACGCTCAGCGTCAGGTACAGCAGATTTTTAAGCTTTTTAAGCACTGCCATGGATATGCATGAAAAGGATACCAGAATATGAGTTCAGTAAGTGAATAAAATCTTTGAATGTATTGTTTCAACGCGGATGAGCCTGTGCACAGTATATCCATTGAGTTCCGATAATTAGGTTATTTTTATGCAACTTCTTTGCGCTGTTTCTCGCTAATTTTTATAACTGATATGTGACCGCAGCGTAGTGGCGGGAAACGGGCTTCCAACCCTACATTCTTCTTAATGTTGGAGCGAACTGATTTTTTGACTTTTTACAAGGAAACGTTGAGGCAAACACCGTGGTTTGATAGCCTAGCCTTACATTTGCTTAGGCTGCTACATGCTACATATTGGCATCTACATGTGCTCAAGCCGCTACGTGTACTTTGACCGCTACATGTACATTGGCAGCTACATTTACTCCAGCCGCTACGTGTACTTTGACCGCTACTTGTACTTAAGCGAAATTTGACAGTACATTGCTAATGACTGATGATAGCAAACTGCAGCACATGACTGCTGAAGCTGCAGGAAGTGTAGGTGACAGGCAATAATCTACTTGCAGGAGGCGCTGGCGGAGGACCTCACGCACGAAGAGTTCCTTAAAGTGCAGCAAGTAATGACCGGCCTGCTGCAGGCTGACCAGCAGGCCACAGCCGTGCAGGACGCGCTGCAGGTCGTCACAGGTAAGTTTAGTGGCAACAAACCTCTATTGAATACTAGTATAGTTTGCTCGGAGGCGCTCTGGCTAAATATTGCACTGGAATTTGGAATACTGTAAACCAAAATCACGTGATTCCTGTTTTCTCTAATTACAGTAATGATAATAAAGCTTATTCATGCTGATTTAACGAAAAATTCCCTTAAAACAAACATTTCACATAAACCATAGAGATCACATTTGCCTCGTTTCAAAATATGAAATATTTTAATGCATTACAAATTTCTACGTACCAATTTATAAATAAAATCATTTAAATTTTTGATCTAATATTTTTCTCCCAGTTTTATAATAAATCACTACTATACTATTTGTAATGAACTTTCACTAGCCTCGATATGTAGCCCCTATATTTTTGCAGTGCCTGGCTTCAAACTCATAACCCATATTCAACATCACTAATCACCCAGTAATACTTTCTATTGGTTCTCCACGTCCACTATAACAAATCTATAGGCAACAGATATCGCGCTGCCATAAATTACTTTATTAAAGTAGCAGCAATCCATATGTACACGTAAGATATCGTACATAGGGAGACGTACGACGAGGATGGGAGCTTAAAGTCAATAACATAATGCATATAATAACTAGTTCCTAGTAAGCTCAGGTCCGTAGTACAGTTGCTACCTTAGTGCGGGTTTACCCGCTATTTTGTCGTAATAAATTCCTTACCACCCATTTTAACTCAACACCAGTCACTCACCACCTACTCCCCTCAGCCGCCACTCACCCACCACTCACACCTCACCCCTCACTCACTACTCGTCTCTTATACACATCTAGATGTGTATAAGAGACAGTTCCACTGCTGCAACACAACAACACAATCTCTCCCCCAACACAACACAGCACAACACACA